CAGAAGGCATTTTAACCCTCCCCTCCTAGTGTGCGAACCGGAAATCTAACCGCTGATTTCCCTCATCTCTTGTGGTTGCAACATAGTCGACTCGCTGATCCTCAGTCATCGCGTTCCACTTCCGGTCCCGTTGTCGGTTCCGTAGCATATAGTACGCTTTGGTCGCCAAGTAGATAGCCATGTTGACGCTCACAATAGATAAGAGTACTCGGTTTCCGACCATATAACGTGGTGCATCCCCTACAGGTCAAATTGCGAATTTATCCTTGATCAGCCTAGGGATACAGCAATGCAGGCTGATAAATGGGAAAAACACTTACAATCCCGATATATGTTCGAAGCTATGATGGCAGATAGTTGTACAGACATGTTGTATATCGCAGCCGCAATAGCCCGAGTTCGCACGCTGTTCGAATTGCGGGATACCCATCCAGCTTGGAGAGCATGAGCTATTCGACTTCACATCAGTATTCTTCACCCAAATAAACTCGGCTTCCTCAACTGCAATCTGCCTACCGTTAGGGAACCCGAGGAAGAGCGTAAGAACGCTCCATACGATCCACTTGTTGGCTTCGCTCAGGTTCACCACATTCATGTAAATGAGGAACGGCAAGCACCAAAGCTGGGCCACAACTCCCATCCAGGCAAGTGAACCGAATATCTCTCCTGCATAAGTGAGGAGAATTCTTGTTATGATTCCGATGACCTGGAAGTCAGTCAGAACTGTCATACCGTGGGCCATTCGTTGCCCTCGTTCTACTTACACTGCAAGGGAGGGATAGTAGAATGGTGTTGAAGGTGCTGAACCCATAATCCTTCAACTGCAATGTAAAATACTGCGAAACAGTAGCTATTCACAGGACTTAGTCAATGGTTTCCCTGAATTCATATAACGGGGTGTACTGACTATAGGGTGCCGAGAACAGCATTCCGACAATGTATAACGGCCACATATCAAAGTCTTTGATACTCATCCATACAAGCTTGGCCGTTAGTGGTTGGCGATTATGCATTGAGCCCTTACTCGGGTCTTCTCGTAGGAGGCGATTGACCATGATGGTCTCCTCCCTGCTCATTTTCTCATATCAGCATCCTGGTACTTCCCCGTTTGACATCTATCATGGCTCACCTTGCTGTAAACCAGCCCTTCTTTCCACGAGCCCAGTGAGCTGTTTGTGTCGCTGAAGGTGGCAGTAGAACAATAGCAAGAAGGCCTAACGCCAGGGTGAGGAGGCCCTGTTCCGCTTGAGCTAAACGCAACATCAAAGGCAGAGATGTATACATACCTCAATCAAGAAGAGCCATCGCCAACCAGCTTGCCCACCATGACCGCCCAGGTGGAGGATCCCATACGCAAGTATTCCTGCCAGCATATCGGCCAGAGAGGATGCTGCATACCAGTATCCAAGACGTATCGATAGCTCATGGTGCTTGTAAAAGTACGAAAGATAAAGGATGACCTGCTGGAATTTAGAGGGGTATAATGGGACAGAGAACAGTAAAGCCACTTACAGTGGGCGTGAAGCCTCCTGAAACCAATCCTATCAAAGCTCGGCAGACCAGGAAGGACTCTCTGTTGGATAGCCAGAATTGGCAGCTAGCAACAATCGACCACGCAATCATCTGTATAGGGATCCACCTGTCGCAGCCAATCCTCTTGCTGATGATCTGGGTTGGTATTTCACTGAACATGAAGCACAGTCTGTACAATGTGTTCCCCAAATTGTAATCTGTGTATTGTATAAGGTATGAACTATCATCCCGGCATTTCAAGCTCAATGGAAGTTACTGACCATCACGACTTAGGCGGATATCGGTCAAGAAATTATCGGCATTGGCTTGCTCTGATATTGTCAGTGTATCAGGTGGTATCTATATGTATAATCACCCACGAATATTAGACTTATCGAGCTCCAGGGCAGTTATCATAATGCAGGCCCATATAATGATACGGAGGTCCAGCTTTCTGACGATTTTCTAGATGTACCTAAGATTAGAGCTTTCACCTCACAGTGAGACTCGCATACATACATTTTCTTCAGCCCAGGTCCATCTTGCTGCCGGATCGAAGCGATGAGTGCCTTCCCAATCGGGACGTGGTTTGTATTCCTCAACAAGGTCAGGGTCATCATACACCGACGGTTGTGTTGCAATGGCATTAGGATCAGGGGTCTGAGATCGCCAGAACCAAATCCGTTTCTTTTTGTGGGAGCCACTGAGTACTTCATCTGTGGAAGCGGCGGTAGACTCCTGCGTCACACTTATCACCGTCTTCTTCTCGATGTCTGACGTTGGGTAGCCACTTGCTTCCTCATCTGGGTGATTCTTGACCGCAAACGAGCGAGCAATGACAAGAGACATATTGTATCGCTAGAGCAAAATCGCCCACCTGATTCCTTTTGCGCCATTTTAATCGACGAAGCCGGTAAGCCCGTTTATATATTCTCGTCATTTCCTCTATATTTGGACCATCCTTGACTTGCGCAACACGCAAGGAGATAGCCAGAGCAACAACCACACCTCTATGCTCACATGGCCCGTACAATCGTTGCATCCTCAAGGTTGGGATCTAGATCACAGCATGAGCGCAACCTGCCAATTTACCAGGGTCTAGATGAACACAACCCGAGATCCAAGGACATTCAGGTCTGCAAACCCCTTGAAACAGCTCCTGGTATCTAGTCGATATCGCTGGTGCATGGACGCTATTGGTGTCAGGCGGCTATCTACCATAGATGCATGGCAGTAAGGTTTCATTGCAGTGTCCACTTAGTTCTGCACGATTCTGTCGGATCAAGCGTGGACTACAGAATCGTGAAATTCACCTTGTCTTCAAATACCTCAAGGTCTGCCAAGACTGAGTCCGGTTCTCTATGTCCTAAACGCTCCGATGTGTCACCAGCGGAGATAAGCTCTCAATTCACTTCGAGCTATACTTTCCGTGGTAGCACAGTGAAGGGATATGTGCACTTGTAAGGAGGAGTCGGAGATAAGACTTTGAGTGAGGTTCTAGGCGCAATGGTAATAGAATGTGGCACAATAGCTGTCAGGCGCCTACCCCAGATTAGCTTAGACGATGGCATAGGTGAAGTACCATGCAAGGGTATACAGCACACATCCTATAGAGTCCATTCTTGACTGTGTATGATGCGAGGATCATCCCTGGGCAGCTGATAATTAGCGCCAACCAGGCTCCGCAATATGAGCCCGATAGACTGCAGACATCGGACAATACCTGTATGCTTGCAGACGAAAGGATCTGGTTCCAAGAGTAGGTAACAGGAGGAAGCGGGGAAAGAAGGGGAATGTTTGTGGGTGCTTACATGTGCGGCACGGTCACCTGCTTGGAGATATGCAGAGCATGCAGGAGGATCTCGATCTAGACCCACCGATCTTCGAGTCCCTCCAACCTCTACATAACTACATGGCCTGGACCGGTGAGCTTCTGCATACCCCATTCTACTTCTATCTTACAGGGGCTGGTTGCTGAAACACGTGCTAAGGATTTTCCATCGCGAAGCGAGTTGGAACTGCTGTCATGAATATTCATTCCTATTACCGCATTCTTCCATTTTAAATCCTTGCCAGATACCCTGATATGCACTCAAGCCTTGGCACTAGGCTTGAACAACGCCTCTTTGGTATCGTATGTATATTTGAGCTGGAGGTGCCAATAGTCGGGAGCCGAAGTCTTTGCAACCAACCAGGCCTTGTCCAGAGCCTCAACCACTTCATCGGGTAGCGGGCCTTTCTGGATATCCTTGAGATTGCTTTCCAGTTGAGAAAGGCTACTCACTCCGACTAGAATTCCATCACGGCCAAGATCGTTGATATTCAGCGCAGAGTGATGACGGATCCACCGAAACGCAATCTCGGGCAATGTCAATCCATGCTTTTCCACGACAGGCTCGATAATTCTTAGAGCGTCAAAGGTAGCATCCTTGAAATACCGACTGCGGTACAATGATCCACTATGGGCCTTGTCACTGTACCTACCTTCTTCTGGCACATCTTGGGTCTTATACTTGCCCGAGAGGAGTCCACCAGCAAGGGGGTTGTAAATTACAATGTCAATGCCGTAGCGCTTGCAAGCGTGGATTAGCTCGGTCTCTATGCTGCGTGCTATAGCGAAACGAATCAGAAACAATTTTCCGGGCCATATGAGAAGTTAGCGTGTACGCAAGGGAGACTCACTGATGGCATTGTACATGGCCTGGTAAATTGTTGGCCGGACCCAGCCTCGTTCGTTGCAGATGGTCACAATCTCCGCAACCTCGAAGGCAGTGTAGTTACTCAGACCGAGTTCTACGAATTTGCCTTCCTTGTGCAATTCATTGACAGCTTCCAAGGTTTCCGCGAAGGGAACCGACCTGTCGGGTGCATGCAGATAAAAGATGTCAACACACTCTGTTCCCAGTTGCTTCAGAGATGTTTCGAGTGTTTCTCGCAAGACATTAGGCTTGTGAGTGCCCGGTACTTTCGGATACACCTTTGTTGCCAGAGTCAGACCACGTTCCTTCCATTTGGCTTGAGCAGTGAACGCTTCCTGTTCTCCTCCAACGTAAATTCTTGCCGTGTCGACCTCATTGAAACCTTGCTGTTGAAAATAGTCCAGGCATTTGTTGAAATCCTCAAGGGAGGTAATCCGAGCACCCTCAGCTTCATTGGGGCCAAAGGTCATCAAGCCGAGGATAACCCGGGGAGTGGGGTTCTGTGCGAGGAGCGGCATAATGAAGTCGAAGAAGACGATGCTGGCAACAATTGAGCCGGGATGGCCAATTGATGTTAGGAAGGGTCAGGTGTAAGCGTACCTCGGTCAGAGGGATCCGGAAAATCTTAGGTAGACTGTTCCAAGGGACAGCGGAGTTTGGATGGTGCCAGGAAGGTTCAGGCCTGAAGAAGAGGGGGGATAAAGACCTGGCCGGTGGGAGGGGTTCAAATAGATAAGAATTCCGGCTCCCCACACTTCTGGTCGCACGCAACTCCGGCCGTCCCATGGCACCGAACCAATATCTATCTGCTGAGGCGTCGATGACGAGCTTGGATTAATATTACCCGGTTACACATGAGGTGGTTTCCCTCCACAGGCCGAGTAAGCTGAGAGTTATATATCCCGGCCGTCAGCGTGGTGGCATGCTGAGTGGTAAATGAGATGCCCAGACTCAGTAGTAGCTTCCCCGCAGGCCGGTGGCAGTAGCCCAACCAACGAACCCGTTATCGGCAGCTTCCTTGTCAATTCAACTCTCAACATTTTCTCTACTACTCCTGTCCAGCACTTCATAACACTCTTTTGTTCATAAGTTTATACATCCATATCATTCACGATGACTGTGCCAACGAAAACTCAATATTCCATTCTTGTCATCAACCCCAACACTTCAACGCACATGACCAATGCTTTGATACCCATACTGGATAATCTCGGGCATGGAGGCATACAATTCGACTACTTCACAGCTCCAGCATCCGAATCAGTCACGCTCCCCGATGGAAGAGTGGTAGAAGGAGTGCCCAGTATTGACTCTGGTGAAGATTCTGTCAAGTCAGCCTTTTATTGCATGCCCTTCCTAGAGCAACTGGTGTCCGAGTATGATGGCTTCATTGTCGCCTGCTTCTCAGCTCATCCCCTCGTTGGTATGCTCAAAGAAAAAGTCAGATCGATCGAAGACGCAGAGTCATCGGGAGTTCCCTCGGAACTGAAGGTCAAGAGAAAGTACGTGACGGGTATCTTTGAAGCGGCAGTTCTTGCTGCTCTCGGCGTGATTAGTTCATTTCAAGCCACTCCGGGCCCAGATTTCGGCAAGGCCCAATCTCGAGATACGTTCGGCATAATTTCGACCGGTAAAGTCTGGGAGACTGAACTCAGCAAAGCGGTCGCTGACATGCTCGGCAACTCGGGAGATTCCACATCCACTGGTCGGTTTGCTGGGGTTGAAACAACTGGACTGACGGCCGTCGAACTACACACCACCCCTCCCCAAGAAGTGAGAAGGAGACTGGTCGAAGCGACAGAACGGCTTTTGAAGAAGGCAGCCCATCCTGTTGGTGCGATATGCATGGGCTGTGCCGGCATGGTGGGCATGGAAGACGCAATAAGAGAGGGATGTGTCAGAGCATACGGACGACAAAAAGGCTGTCAAGTCAGAATAGTCGACGGCGTTATTGCTGGAGCGGGGATGCTTGCAACGACTTGCAAAGCCGGTTTCTAGGGGCCTGTCTGCAGTCAGTACACCATCTCTCATGTTGGAGACGTTGTAAAACTGTGCGAGACTATGTATTATGATGAGCTGCGGTCAATGCACCAACTACCAAGAACGAGCTGCAGCTGCCTGTATTATTATGAAGAGAGAGAGAGTCTATTATGTCACTTTAGCTAGTAGCCTTGATGCCAATAGTTTCTTTGAAACCCAGTGTTATGTGTCACTAAATCATCTATTTTCATCCCGTAGCCCAAGCAATACAATAGATCTGAATGAGACGTAAAATTTCGCTATCTCAATTCGCAGCAAATCAGGTAGTCTCCACTGATGATTTACCAATGGAAGTGAAGCCCCAATCAAGAAGATCCGCTAGCCCATGTCTTCTTGTTTCTGGTTTACTTTTGGGGCGCGGAAGGTTTCAAGGCAATCGACAAGGGACTGTTTAGGCCTGAGGCCCCCACACACCTAATCGAGACTTGAACTTCCCCGCGGAACGCGCTACGCGTAGACTATAATCCACGATCACTTGCGGTGATCAAGGAACAAGATGCCCAGGTGGGTTCGACTCTCACAGCTTTCCTACATTATGTTTAGAAACATGTGATTGTATTAGCAGCATCTGATCTCCATATTTAGGGAAATCATAACGATCCAAGCCGGCCAGTGCGGTAACAATGGTATGGATCCCCACGAGAAGCAGCTTCCACTATAGCTTTCGACGAACATCGTCTGGCATATTCTGAGACATCGCTAACTTATATCTGCGTTAGTTGGTGCTCAATTCTGGCAGCAGCTCTGTCTTGAGCACGGCATAAGCCAGGATGGAAACCTGGAGGATTTCGCGACCGAGGGCGGCGATCGGAAAGACGTCTTCTTCTATCAGGTATACCTGCCACTCTCCTTGTGCTTCGATTACCCAGAGAGCTAATCAAGCATGATCAATAGAGTGATGATACCCGCTATATTCCTCGAGCGATCCTGCTCGATTTAGAACCCAGGGTACGACCCCTTCCGCGAAAGACCATCTCGAAGAAACCAATGTGATCGCGCGAACGGTGAGCTGAGAATTTTCCGATTAGGTCCTCAATGCCATCCAGGCTGGTCCGTACCGAAATATCTACAATCCAGAGAACTTCTTTATCGGACAACAGGGTATTGGCGCAGGAAACAACTGGGGAGCGGGCTATTCCGCAGGCGAGGTCGTGCAAGAAGAGATCTTTGACATGATTGATCGTGAAGCGGATGGCAGTGACTCTTTGGAGGTATGATACCGGTGCTATCATGATACATATATGACGTGCAATCTTGGGTTTGTGATTGAGCTTATTGCTAATGGTTACTTTGGCAGGGATTCATGTTCCTGCATTCAATTGCAGGTGGTACGGGTTCAGGGCTGGGCAGTTTCATACTGGAACGCATGAACGATCGGTTTCCCAAGAAGTTGATACAGACTTACTCTGTCTTTCCTGATACGCAGTCTGCGGACGTCGTGGTCAACCCATACAACAGTTTGCTCGCAATGAGAAGGTTGACGCAGAATGCGGACTCTGTGGTAAGGCACTGTTACTGATGAATTAATGACGGACTTGACTAAATCTGTAATCTAGGTGGTACTGGATAACGGCGCTCTTTCAAGAATTGTCGCGGATAGACTCCACGTACAAGAGCCTTCTTTCCAGCAAACGAACCAGCTTGTAAGTAACTGCCTGCCTGCAAGGCGACTGGCACTCATCACTCCTAGGTTTCTACTGTTATGTCTGCTTCTACGACGACCCTCCGATACCCCGGATATATGCACAATGACCTCGTGGGAATCATCGCTTCCCTCATCCCTACACCGCGCAGCCACTTCCTGATCACCTCATACACCCCGTTCACCGGCGACAACATTGAACAGGCCAAGACAGTGCGTAAGACCACTGTTTTGGATGTCATGCGTCGTCTGCTGCAGCCGAAGAACCGCATGGTCTCCATTAACCCCAGCAAGTCCAGCTGCTACATCAGTATCCTCAACATAATCCAGGGAGAAGCAGACCCTACGGATGTGCACAAATCACTCCTTCGTATTCGGGAGCGACGCCTGGCATCCTTCATCCCATGGGGACCAGCGAGCATCCAAGTCGCATTGACAAAGAAATCACCCTACATGCAGAACACCCACCGCGTTAGCGGTCTGATGCTGGCGAACCATACCTCGGTGGCGACACTGTTCAAACGAATCGTCCAACAATACGACCGTCTGCGGAAGCGAAACGCTTTCTTAGAGCAATACAAGAAGGAGAGCCCCTTCTCGGACGGCCTGGGCGAGTTCGACGAAGCCAGAGCAGTGGTCATGGATCTCGTCGGCGAGTACGAAGCCGCGGAGAAGGAAGATTACCTGGATCCAGATGCAGGAAAGGAGAAGGAGATGGGGGTGTGAGTGTGAGTGTGAGTGTGGTTGTGCTGGCCTAATCTAATGTCCCACTTGCGTTTTTTCCTCATACCTCTTCATTTCTTTTCATTCCCGTCATGACTTACAAGGGTTGACCGGTGTCGAGTGGCAAGGGCGTTCTCTTCTTTTGTGTTGCAACAAAATACCTTCTTTTTCAGATTGCTATGACTTGGGTGCCTTATTAATGAACAAGAAAAAAGAAAAAGAAAAATGCTGTATGGATTGCACCGCGTAAATGGACGTGCCCGTCTTCGGCACATCGCACAATTGTGTAACAATCCCTATCGGCCAAACCGATGAAACACCCAGACAGCCAGAACAGAACAACGGTCAGATCATTGACCAACAGATCCATGGCCCATGTCCAAGGTAATCCATCCCACTTCGTACCTACCTACATTCGAAGGTGTAACCTGCGACGTAACCAAATACAATAATCCCAGGCATCCTATCCCATATACATATTAGATTACAATAATCCTAGAATAGACCGACCTCCCAGCCAGCCACTAGTATCTGATTCATTAATTGTTTACTAAGTTATGTAAGTTTCTCAAACAGTTAGTTTAACCTAGTTAACCAACAAAATTTATATCCTCAGTCGGTGAAACCGAGAAACAAAGGAACTGAAGAGAGTTAACGAAAACAATGGCATTGGGGAAACACAGGTTTTTCAAAGAATGTGTACGCCACCATACCTGGTATCTAGTCTAGTCTAGTCCAGTCTTATGCATGGTTTGATTTCGGATAATTCCCTCCCCTTCTAACATTCTCAGCATGGTTTCACATAAGTTGTGTCGGTGGGTGTATGTATGATTTGGCGATAGTGAGGCGGGGGAGGGGGGAAGTCAGATCCGACTACTAAGAACAAGGCATAGCAGGTTTGTGCCCAAGGTGGAGGGTGTAAGTTAGTAGTACTTAGTAGGTAAGTGTGCATTATCGCCTCAGGTCTGAGCTGGAGACAGAGTCAGGCACCATTTGTACTTATGTCACTACTGGCTACGCGAGGAGAGGAAGTAATTAATTAGGGGTGTAGAGGGGATAGTAGTGGCTAGTTAAATGGAGCAAAATTCCTACTCATCTTTCTCTTTGGGAGGGTAAGAGAGGAGAGGGGACCTTGTATGCAAACAAAAACCAGACAGATAATAGTACTTACAGAATAGAAAAAGGACTGACCAGTAGGAGAAAATCAAATGCACAAGCGTTATTGTTGGACGGTGATCCACTTGGGTACCTACTTACTTACTTTACCTGTGCTTAGGCAGTCCTAGCTGAGTAACTAACTAACTAGTAACTATGGGGACCGGGGTAGATAATAGTACTAGCTAGATTAGAAAACTAGTAGTAGCATGAAAATAGAATAACTGGTAGAGTAGTAGTACTTCTGTATGTATGATACAGAAGTACTACTAGTAGGTTGGCCCGTTCCCTTTTTTCTCTCCCCGCCTATAGGACAATTGCGCTCGAGACATGGAGGACCCCATTAGGGTTCTTGGATGCGGTTGGTTTGGTTGGTTGGTTCATTTCATCCACCGGTCTGTGGTTTTGTGTCTATCTCGACTGAGCATGCATATATGGTGCTTACGCAGCTGCAGGCAGTTAAATTACTTAATAAATTGGTCGCAGAGAAAGAGAGGAGGGGTGTGTGGAATCTAGGCACTACTTACAGTAGGCATCTACTATTATTATCATTGTTATTTTGGGTATTTTGTACTACTCACGTACGTCGACATACTGATGCTGTGCTTTGCTATCTATAATGGATCTGTGCGGAGGGCCACGGCTGTGCTTCCATCTGCACCATGTAGGATTTGGCAATTAGCTGCGTGAAACGAACAAAAAGGGCTTCGTTGGGAATAGTGATGATTTATGCACTCCATGGAATCTGCAAACCCAAGGGTAGGTGCATGATGATAATAACACCATCACTACAGGATACTTACTACTACCGGGGTTACTCCGTGGAATCGGTAAGGGTGCCGTTCTGGTTCCCGGGCTCTAGTATATTTAGGACTAGATCGATAGATAAAGTATATTGACGATGGCTTGGAAAATAAAAGACTTCCGGAATTCTACGATGAGATCATCAATATGTACGAAAGGACCACTTGTTTTGTGATGATGATCCAGAAATCCTGATTGTCAAAAGAGGGATCAATAAATAAAAGTCATCAGGATGGGTGCTGGCTGCAAGGTATGAGTCCTCACGTGATGAGTTGGAGGAAAGTTTGGTGAGAAGAACCAAGTAGGTTTTAGATGGGATTCATTTCCAGGTATGGGGAAACCGGGTTGGAACAAGATGGCAAGGTTGGGAATCATAATAATCTTAGAAAATAATCAGGAGGTGTGCACTATACTCCTGTAGTACGACCCTCGGGATGCAGCTTCACTAACGTGCACAGACATCCGTGAAGGGATTTTCTGTTTCCCCTTCCCTCCTCCCTAGTGTCCTCTCTCTCTCTTTCGTGGTGGTGCCTGGATGGAAGAGAGACACAGAAGGGAGGGAGGGAGGGCCCAGGCTTGCATGCATTGTTGGGCCGGATAGTTTTGGGAAAACCGGGGTGGGAAAGAAGGGGAAGGGAAGGGAAGGGCAAGGCAACGTTGAACGGGTCAGTAGACTAGTAAGCGTGGCCGTCCTTTTGGGGTTAGTTTAGTAGGAGGGGGAAGAAGGGTGTTTAAGAGTGGAGGAGGGGACTTTTGGCGGCGATATATACGTTGGAACTTGAGAATGGCTCGTGAGGAGCAGAAGCAGCTGATGTGGACATGATTGTCCTCGCTT